GGCATGAGTGCTCTGGACTATCAGTTCTAAATTTTAGAAATTGTAAGAAATAACACACCACTGTATATGCTTTAGCAGACGTCATGGGACTAGGCCCAAGGGCCAAAAGTGAGCTACTGCTTGTTCTTAAGTAAAGTTTTACTGGAACATAGCCGTGCCCATTCTTGGACACATTGTCTATGGCTCCTCTCACGCTGCAGTGGCTGACTTGAGTAGTTGCAACAGAGACCACACAGCCTTCAGAGCTGAAAATATTTACTACCTGGCTCTTTACAGGAACAATTTGCCAGCCTCTTTGCTAGAGTGATCAGGGGAGCTTCCATGGAATGGCTGGGTCTTCAGCTGAGTCTTGAAGGAAAGAGACAATGTTCATTCCGATATAAAGGAATGGGGAATCGCTGAAAGAACATTACAAGAAAGGATACTAAGATTGTAACTGATGTTACATCATGGCGTACAAAAGTCACTATAATAAGTTAAAGCTAATACAGACAACAACCAAGCACATATACCATTTAGTATGTGCCAGGTATTATTCTCCTTGCCTTATAGTAATTCATGTTATCCTCACAGCAGTATCATGAGTCGGGTGGTATTAACTATCTCTATTTTTCCAAGTGAGAAAAGGGACACATAGAGTTAAAAATGCCTTCCCAAAGTCACAACACTAGCAAGTGGCGAGCTGGGATTCACTCCAGGCTCCACACTTCTTAAAAGATACAAAAATGGAAAAGTAAAATATGATGAAGGCCAAAATGGGGTATAAATGCTAGCTACGAGCAATGAGACTGTTTCCTACATGGAAATCGGCTTTATTACTTCATATTGTTAAACCTTGCTGGCTAACCACACCACAAGTTCACTTTACATACTCTTTGTCCTCTGCAAAATATTGTCATGGGTCCACTGGAAATCCCCTAAACGGGACATCCCTCTAGCACATCCAATGGTTATGTTGCTAGGGTGGTCGCCGGGGTGATGCTGTGTCAACAGAGCAGCCACCGGCCATTCCCAAAGGTGGACCACAACCTACTCATTAAACTCTGACCCTGAGACCGCCACCTGGTTCCTAAAAGGACAGAGGTTCTCTCTCCCAAACAATAATCAATAATAAGCTCAGCCCAGTAATGAGAGGCAGAAGCCACCTCCTTAAGAAGGCCATCATTTCTTCAAATTATCACCTGGGTGCTGTTTGGGTTCCAATTGGGGAACAGAGACTCTCAGGCCAGAGTAGTGATTTCTGATCTCCAGCCAAAGGATGGGCCACCTCTTCTAGGTCAACCAGGGGCCTAGGCTGCCCAAAGTGGTATCAAGCAGGGGACCCATTATGTACAACCAAATTAAATACAGGCAGGGTTCCAGCAGAGAAGCTGTCTCTTGACTCATCTCCTTATTTCCACAAGGAAGACATTCTAATAGATAGTTTCCAGTGAGATCAGCCTTTACAGAATAACAGGGTTTAAATTTATATACCTTTTCTAGAGGGCATTTTGGCCATTTGTATCAAAAGCCTTAACGCTGTATAAAGCCAATGACCTAGAAATTCTATTTGTATCTGTTTGTAACTCATTTATCCCAAAGAAATAATCAGATATATACTTGAAGTCTACACATTAAAGCATTAGCTATGAAAAACACTAGAAACACACGCATTATCTAACCATAGGTAATGAATTAAATACATTAAAACCAGTGTGCAAGGTAAAAGTCCATTTTGGTAGAAAACAAACAAACAAAAATAACAAAAATAGCAACATCATGTACCCATAGAAAAACAGGGTTAGTAGGGGGTGTTTTCTCCTAGGGTAGAACTATGGTTGTTTTAATTTTTGTACTTTTTTATACAATAAATTCAGCATTGTGTTGGTAATTTTAAGAAATTATAATAAGTTATTTTGTTTTGGGGGGTATTGCATTATACTTTTGCATTCTCACGTTTTTTAGTTCTGTGAATCTAGGCACTGTATTTTTCCAGCAAGCGAAAATGCAGACCTGTCTCTGCCAAAGGGAAAAGGCAGTTCTCACTTTCAGAGACCCACCCACAAGACAAAACTCCTCCAATCTGACAACTAACTGGCTGGAGAGCTGATCTGACCTTAAACTGGGCTTACGGCTCTGTTAAAAAGGTTTATCATAACAGGACTGGAAACAGCTTAACCAAGTTCATCCAAGTTTCCTGAGGTGATGTGGGTTTTGTTTTTATTGGTTTTTTTCCTAAAAAGAATCAGCATCCTAAATTAAAACAAGTGATTCGGAGAATTAGCGAAGGGCTGATTAAAACGGGGTGTGCCAGGCAGACTGTGAAACGGCTCTCACCTACAGGGCCTGGGACCGGCGCAAGAGACACGCCCGGTATGTCTTTCCCAGGACGTGGCGGGATCAGGGAAGCTGAGTCATAATAAACCTCATTGAGACTTCTGGACACGAGATGAGTTCAAAGTTTTAGAAATAAAGGAGTATCTTTTCATTTAACTTTCAAATAAGTATTAGACAATTATTTTTATATCACACAACAAAAGATTCCAATGCCCAAAAATATGGGACAAAGTGAACCGGCATTCTGCAACTATCTCAAACCTCAGGATAAATTTAGATTCATCTAGAGGTTCCCAATAATGAAGCAATAATTAGACACACAAATGTGTTGCTTTTTACCCAGCTGCCGACTGGTGGCTGTATTGACTTCCCTGGCCACTGTATCTGAAACCACTGCAGGAAAGCAAGTGCCTTTCAAACAACCAGCACAATGCCAGAGGCAGAGAAATGCGCCTAAGTCGTTCAGGAATTTCCCCAAACTGGTCTTGCCTTGTAAAATAATACATGTTTATTCAAACAGTTCGAAGGAAGGGAAAGCACACACAGTTTCGTTGAGGGGCTGAGTGACATTTATGTGTTTGTTCAACCTACATCTTGAAGTCCCCGCTGTATGACAGATTGCGTGGGAGATGCTGGGCACCAGAACTAGAGGCCTCTCCACTCTGTGTTCACAGGCAATTAGACATGCAGTGTGACAGAGGGAATGTAAAAAAAATCCTCAATTTCCTCTCCCTGTATTCCTGCCTCTTATGTGACTTTGCAACTCGAATTAAAAAGTTGAGTTTACGTTCCTACCTCCTGAGTCTGGACTGGCCTTATGACTTGCTTTGGCCCACATAATAAGTCTGAAGCGACAGGGTGACCCTTCGGAGCCTAGGCCTTCGGAGACCTGTGTGCCCCAAGTTTCTCTTCTGCCCATGCAAATAGCCAAGGCCAGCCCACTGGGAATGAGAGACCGCATGGAGGAGCGCGGAGCTGAGGGCCCCAGCCAACAGGCAGTCCCCGCAGAGGAAGAGCTGATGGACAAGCCTGCAGCTGACCAGTGACACACGATGGAGCACAACTGAGACTGGATGAAGCAGCGGAAAGAGCCTGGCCTGAGGTGCCAGCCCCGAGAACTGTAGGCTAAATACTGGGTTGGCCCAAAAGTCCGCTACGTTTTTTCCATACGATGGCTCTCATAGGGCTTCCTTGTCCTTAACTTCGTTCAAAACCATTTTGTTAGATTGTATTGGGACAGCTGTGACAACAGCACGCATTCTAAAAAACGTATCAAAATTGGTGAATTTTTGTGTAGCCATTTTAGTATTGAAGATGGAAGAAAATATGCAAAATTTTCAGCATACTGTGCTTTCTATTTCAAGAAAAATAAAAATGCAACTGAGATGCAAAAAGAAAGATTTGTGAGTGGATGGAGAAGGTGCTGTGACTGATCGAACGTGTCAACAGTGGTTTGTGACGTTTCTTGGCACTATTGATATTTTGGCCAAATGATTCTTTGGGTTTTATGCACTGGAAGATGTTTAGCAGCACCCCTGGCTTCCACCCACTAGAAGCCAATAGCAGTACACAGCCACCATACTGAAAATATCCAAATCAATGAAGTTATTGGTGAAAACGAAAAATGTGTCCTTTATTTTGCAGAAAAAAAAACGTAATGGACTTCTTGGCCAACCCAATAAAAAGCTACTGTTTTAAGCCACTTGGTTTTAGGATGGTGTGTTACACAATAGTGCCTAAACAATGCACACAGAAACAACAAGTGCTAACTCTGATAAAGCCAAATACAAAAATGCCACACAGCACCTGACGGGAACACCTGTGACATTATTCCCACGTGTTTACAATTACCAGTGAATCCTGCGATTTAGGCATATAAACCACAGGCCTGAACACCCATCGGACAGAACATAAAGAAGCTGTGTATCTAGGGAAGGGCTGGCTCTAGGCAGCCACAGTTCCTTTGAAAAACTGTCTGTGGATGAGTTGGATTTGCCTGGAAAGTGATTCTTTGTTTCTTTTCTCTCTCTCTCTCTAAAAAAAAGCAGCCCTTTCACTCAATTAAGCCTGTTGGACTCCATAACAATTGTCTAGCTTGATTCAAAGCAGCCATATCCTCTCTGACACATGTTCAGCCTCCAGTACTCCGTCGGCTGGAATTTTAAACCCAGTCCCCCTGAATTTATGACATCCACACAGTAGCAAGTCCCTACAGGCTGAAAATCAAACTGTGATTCAAAGGCCACAGGGCCGAGGAAACAGCCAGAAGATAAATCCCAATTTCAACCTTGGATTCTCTGCAAGTTGATTCAGTGGCTTGTCAGTCACATTTAAAAATAAAACAAAACTGCAGACACACCAGACGGCATGTTTTAAGGAGAAACAGGATGATGCTTCTCAGAACTCCTTCGAAAGGCTCTCGCTACCTGGAAAGGACTGCTCTGTGTTATTTTAAAAGGGCCCTTCAGTATTTGGCCCCCATCAATCATTTGCAGGAGTTTCTAAATTTTTAACTAATGAGATAGAAGAAAAAAATCAAACCATGAAACGCAAGCGAGGCCACCACCCTGACTGAAGGTGATAGGACAGGTGTCCAAGCGGCCCATTTCTGGGGCCGGGGAGGTCGCCTTCGCTGAGCACGCGGAGAAGGAGCGCGCACCGGGCGCAGGGCCGTGGGTACTCACCTTACAGCCCTCGCAGGCGCTGACCCCATAGTGGTAGCCCGAGGACTTGTCCTGGCAGACGAAGCAGGGTTTGTACACCCGCGGGGGAGGAAGTGGAGACGGAGGGCTCGGGACGAGTTCCTCGGAGCTGGTGCTCTGTGTTTCAATCGCTACGATGGAGAAAGAGAGAAAGTGGGTTTCAGTTCATTTCTGTGTATCGGTGAAGGCATAGGCCTCTGCTCTCCCCGTTCAGCGGTAACACTGGCAGAGATAGGCCCACGTCAGTCCCCGTTGCAGACACGGCAGCGGGGACACCGACTCAGAGGGGGTGCTCGGCCGTTTACAAAGCAATCCTGGTTGTCTCTCTCATTGTGCAGGAGGTGACTTGACTGCCATTTCACCCTCAAGAGAGACAGAGTCAGAGGCGTGCAGTGACTCATCCGAGACCAGCAGGGCGGGGGTCGAGCCAAGCCACAGAGTCAGATCTTCACACGGCAAACCCCAGGCTTTTGCTACTCTTCTGTTTCTGCTAGCTTCTGATTCAGTTAGAGCCTCGAGAATACCTTGTTTGACTCTGTGGCTCAATTAGCCAAAAACCAAGTTCCTGAGCACAACGGAAGAAAATGCCCAAAGCTGCCGTTCAGCAAGCACATGGGGAGGGCCTCTGGCATGTGTCCTAACTGATCTTCGTTAACAGTAATAATAATAATAATACTGGCAAGACCTCTGCTACTGAAAGACTGCTCTCTGGACCCACAGCATCAGTGTCCCTTCAGAACTTACTTGAAAATGTACTTACCAGGCCCCAGCTCAATGGAACCAGAATTTACATTTTAACAACCGCGCCCCCAAGCAGACCAAATGTACAATTAATGCTTGAGGAGCACTGCTTTATGCTCATCATGGCCCAGAGTCATGTTGCTTGCTCTTTATTCTGGATTTAGAAGTACAAAATTCCTCTCTTTCATTGTTCAACCACCCAAATTCCATGGGAAATAGGCATTCATAAAACTTAATACTCAGGTATTCTCCATTTCCTACTCTACGTACCAAGTCAAAGCAAGGCCCAGCCCTGTTCCTATCACAGGCAAAAATGCTTATAAAGTATGATGGGTATGGGGAAAAGAGTGATGGAAAGTAATCAAATGATGTTCCAGAATCTTCCAATCTCCAAATCTCTTGACAACATACAGAAGGTTCCTCAAAGTATAAAATTTCCAGCTGTCCCACTGCCCACAGTCTCCCAGGTTAAGGCATTCTGCGGACTGAGCTGTCCTACAGGCGAACCCCCAGCCTCTGCAGCCGAGGCACCCACCAGACGCGCTGTGTCAGTCCTCATCTCTCAGTCCAGCTGCCGCACCAGGCTAGGAGTCCACCTCAGCTACGTCAGTGGCCTCTTCACTGTCCCTGCTCCTCTACGCTGGAGTCCGTTCTTCAAACAAGCAGTAAGGTAACTGCTCCGAACGTTAATAGCAGTCCCTGTCACTTACCTGTTTAAAGCTGTCCAATAGTCACCAATTAGATCAAAGCTCAGCTCCTCACTATGCTCTATGCAGCTCTCCATGATACGGCCCAAGAGCAACAGCAGTGATTCTCCTAACTGACAGACTTCCCAGGACTTGCCTTCTATTCCACCTCTTGGACAGGCCAAGCTCTCATACCATCTTAGGGCAATTGCACACTAACCACTTCTCCTTCCCGGACATTCTGGGACCTTCAGCTGTCTGGTTCCTTTTCATCTCTGATCTTAGAGCAAATGTTACTTTCTCCAAGGTGACTTCTGCAAGTAAAATGACCTATGCCATTCCTTACTCCTGGACACTATAGCCCATTATTTTATTTTATTTTCTGTAAAACTCTCTAATTCTACATTTAGAAAGTTTGTGTATAATTTTATTTTATACCTCTGCCATACCCTCAAGTATGGGTTTAGTGAGGCCAAAGAACTTAAGTACCTTGTTTACAATGTGTTCTAGGCCCAGAAGAGGTCCTAGCACATGGTAGCTAAGTAATCAATAAATATTCATTGAATGAATACATAAACTTTTTCTTATTTCATTACAAACACTAAGTGCTCCTCTAAGTCCATAAATTATAAAATTGGAAATCAAATAGCTTTCATAGGCTCACTTGCCTACGTTAAAAAGTAATTAATTGTCCCTTTGGACTAGAATGAACTATTGTTGTAGTATTTTTGTAATTCAGAAGAATCTTGGAATGAAGTGGTTAGAGTAGCACGGGTCTAGTAGATAAAACTGTTGGAGTGTTCACTGGTTAGAACCCAGGGATCTGGGACGAGAAAGCCCTGCTCGGGACAGCCTGGCACAATCATGTCAAGTGCTCTACAGATGGGCTGGCATCTGAGGTGTCTCGAAGGCTTATCAAATGCAAAGCATTCCTCACACCAATCAGCTTCACTGAAAGCAAATGAGTAATAGTGACATCTAGAAGAAAACAGTACTTGTTAAAAGTACAAAATGATAGATTGCTTTTTGTTAAAACCTAAGAAAACAAACACACACAGGATCACCCACAATCCTTTCACCCGGAGAAAAAGCATTGCTGTCACCTTGGCATGCACTGCCCAGACATTTTCCTATGCATATAAACGTTTTGGGTTTGTTGGTTTACTGAATTATACAGTAGATTCTACTTGGGACTAAGTCTGTTTAACTTTTTCTATCAGGAGTTTATTTCCTCATCAAAAAAGATTTCCCCACAAAACATTCCATTGTGATATGAAGATCTTTACAGCTAATCTCAGCATATCTCTATTTCCCTAGGATACAGTCTCAGAAGTGGAATTATTTGTTCAAAAGGTATGGTTATTTAAAAGTATGTTGTTAGCTTTTAATTCAGGTTGACAAACTGACTTCTAAGAAGGCTGTGTCAATCAACACTCCTAAAATTGATATGTGAGTCCTTCCCTAAATGCCTCTGACAACTTTGGGATTGGTTCTACGGTGAGCCTCCATGTCTGCCCGAGCGCTCCCACGACTCTGACAGAGCCCCGTCCCCGCCACCTGAATCTGTCCGGCCAGCACTGAGTTCTCTACAGAAGCAATGTGGTGGGGAGGGGTGTGTTTGAACGCCCTACTCGCTCATGTAGAACAGCTAATCTGGCTTGACTGGGGAAGTTGTAAATAGAATTGTTAGGGCTGGATTCAGCTGTCACAGCTATGCCCTGAATTTCAAAAGTGGGTGGTAATTTCCATAAATATGCCACTTCAAATACATGTACTCAAGCATCTCACCCTCCCAAAGAGAGGAAACATAACTGCGGGCGATTTAATACCCAAGCAACTTGGGACAAAGTACACACAAAAATGAGAGGCCTCGAAAATCCCAAAACACTTTACGAAGGTTGGGAAAAGGCTTTTTCTATGGATGAGAGGCATTTATAACAAATGAATGAATCTAGAAGGCCTTTCCTGAATAGCCGCCATCAATTCAAATGTTCTACTGCAAGCCATCAATTGCGAGGGCTCTGGCCTTTTATTAAGGCTGGGGTGATTTCACCTGCAAAACTCTGAACTTTCCCATATCTGTACAATGGATGTTCACATCTTCAATCGTTTACTTTTGCCGAGTGACTATAACATGCCAAGCATCGTGTTATATGCCATGGACAGAGCATGGTGGATAATCCCTTAGCCCTGACAAGTTTGGCCTAATAGAGAGTAAACCAATGATTACAATACAACAGTAGTTCCCAAACTTGGCTATTATTAGAACCACCCAGGGAGTTTTCACACAGGTCCTATCCCAGACCTATTATGCCAGAATGTCTGGGAGTGGAAGGCAGGCATGAGCATGTTTTGGAAAAAAAATAAAAATTCCCAGATGAATCCAAATTGCAGCAGTTCGGGAACCACTGGTATTACGATAACAAAGAAGGTTTCAAGCTTTATGCATCCCAAGAGAAACCAAGGGAGGCTTCCCAGAGGAGATGACCAGGCTGTGTTTTGAAGGATAAATTGATTCTTTCTGTCATGGTTTAAATTTGAATCCTATAAATGCCATACATAAGTGGTTCCCACCCAAATCTGAACAGGAAAGTCTTCTATATGACAAGAAATAATCATCTTCTGAAAAAAGTTCCCATTGGTAGTAAAGAATTATACATTTCATTTATACCTATACTCAAATATCACCCTCAAAGTTGGTCATCTGTGGTCCTCTATTTCCTCAGTGTGGCCTGTAACACTGAGAACAATGCAAAGCAAGAAGAAAAGAAAAAGTCCCCATGGTCTGGTCAGACTGCTCAAGCTGGTCTTCAACAAACATGCCACAACTGGTTCCAGGATGAAAGCCAGGATGTGGCATCAGTATAAAAGCAGATCCCTACTTAATGCAACCTCTGGCCTTTCTGATAAGGTAGTGAAATACTTTGGCAAACTTTATTAGTGCTCCTCTTCCCCTTTCATTCCCCAGCTCCGCCCACCCCCACCAACCACCAGGAAAGACGGTGGGAAACGAGGGAGGCCATGGCCTACCAGCTCCCCTTTCACCAGTCACTTCGGTATTTAAGGTAGCTACAGAGTGCTTGGCCATTGATCTGTTCACTGTCATCCTGCTTAAATCAATAATCTATTAGTCCCTTTAAATTAGAGTTAGATGCATCAAAGGCCCTCGAGAGGCCTCAAACATTTTGTTCCTTATTCCGAGCAAGCACAATAAGTCTATGGAATGATAAAATTTTTGCTGGAAAACTCTGCAGGCTCAGCAGACAATGCGTCCTGTATTAGCTCATTCAGCGATCTCAGGCAGGCCCAAAAAGCAGTTTTTAGACTTCCCAGGGGGGAAAAGGCTTGTGTCATTCAATCAAACCACTGTACTCCAGCCTTCCTGATGTGATTTCGGTTTGGGGAAGCAGCCTTTGAGGAATAATTAGGATCTGCTTTTTGCCTCCTGCTTTTATTTATTTCCTTGCTTACTTACTGTCTTATTCAGTGCTCTTTGGTGATTGCACCGCTGACAAGCAGCAGCCTCCAATGTGGCATCTAAACTGCTCACCAGATGGGCTGCTTTGCTTCGTCAGGGAATGGCCAAGACAGAGAAACTTCTGCTACTGGGGTAAGATGGATGCTTGGCTCCATGGGTCCCTGCCCAGAGCAGAGTCAGCACCAGAGGTGCTGAGGGGGCTTCTCTGGGCTGCACACTGGCAAGA